GTCAAAGTTGCTCGTCCGCTTCGAGCCGGACCCAATCTCAGCAATTCGTGTCGATCTAGGGAAAACTAGGGACCAGCCAGCAGCCCCAAAATTGCTGAAAAGGTTGCCCCGTCTGAAGCGATCCTATACTCTGTTTCATACATAGAGTGCAAAGCAGTCAAAGCTAGCGCACTGGTTTGCATTGCTGACCGTGCCTACGTTCGCCCCATAAGATAGTGCGTCCCCTGCAAAAAAGTTTTTAAAAGTCGGAAAATGTGCCTCCTCGGGGCTAGTAACTGATAGTGGCGTTATGATTTCAACGGAGCACAAATGTTTTTCAAGAAAAAGGAAAAGATAATGTAAACCACCTTAAATTGTTTTCGTGTTCATCCGTGTCGCAGCCGCTGTGGGTTTTCGGGTTGTGTGGCACTGGCTGGTTTTGAGAAGATGGCATCTTATGCAGCAAGCTCAAGTACCTCTCCTGCTCGGATGTTTTCGAAGATTCGTTGTGCGAAAATCTTGAAAGAGTGCAAGCAGATGATCGCCGATGTGTATGGGAGTATAAGAACACATTCCCCGGAGAATTCGGTCGTGAAGTCCTCGAGACGGCCAGTAACGACACTGGAGTGTGCCCTGTACTGTCGCGGAGTGCAAGGCGCAGTGCCTATCTGGCAAGGTGGCATCCCCGAAGCAAAGACCTCGCAACGTGAAAGTTTCGAGCACGGGGACCGTCAAGCATGACGAGTTCACACAGAACGCCATTCGCCTGAAGGTGCATCGCAAGTCCTCCGAGAGAGAGATTCCTACCCTTGACAGCTATTTCAAAATAAACTGTACAGGCCACAACTATTGTCGATTAACGTTTTATTATAAATTTTGGGACAAGGCCGCTATCAGGGCGATTCCTCATTCCACGCTGCACGAAAGAAAAATATAACTCGGTGCTGGAGGCAAATAACACTTGCAAAGCGGCAGACCAGATGGTAGAAATCTGGCCACTCCGGCGACTTATAAATAAAAATCAAGAAGGAGGAACTGAAATATGCACTTCGTCAATGCACACAATCTTGCACAAAAAGTATGTCTAAAAAAAAAAAAAACCAAAAAGCTTTGCACGTAAAACGGGTTCAAACCACGGCCACTGAGACGTCAATATCGCCAGAGCAGCGCCTTCTACCACTCGTCCACGAAACGCGCGGAGTAACACTTTTTCTATTTTTTCATGCGCACCACTTTAGTACCTTTGACAGCGTTGCACGCTAAATATGAAACAGAGTATAAGACACCCTATTGTCTGGTACAGAGACAATTTATGAACGCTTAGGTGTTTAAACAATCTACTACACATTTTACAGAAATAAAAAAAAAACATTGGGTGTTTAAACGTTGTACTACCCCTTTTTCAATAGAAAAAAGCAACAATAAAAAAAAAAACATTTCAGAAGAAAAGGTTAAGGAAAGGGAATGTACCATTATGTTCAGTGAAGTTTGGTGACAAGACTCGGGACTCGAGCAGGAATGCAGTTATCCTTGGTGTGACCCCATGAGACTGTCTTGCTGCCTTTGCTGGGGTTTATCTAACTGAAGTACCTGTGCGAAAAGTAGAACACATGTGCATAACACTCATTATTCACAAGAAAATTTGTCAATGTCCAAAATGACCCATGAAGAAAATTATGCGAGGAATTTTCAGGCTGCGTTGGCCGAGTCACCTCTTGTGGCCAATGTTTCATAGCAACTTTAATTGTAGTGAACAGTTATAGGGTATATTACGAACAAAGTGCAATTTGGTTTTGTAGGAAACTATAACACACAAAACGACACTTGAATGCAATATGTTGAGGTACCTCTAAACAAACTCCAGGGTTTCATGGCGCCTCCTTCAGATACCTGATGTTGAACATGAAATATGTGCACCAAGGAGTGAGCAAACAGCGACTTCAGATTTGTCTCTAACACCAGCGACATGTCGACAAAAAGTGCAACGTGTAGAAGGTCGTCTAGAAGTGTGCCAAGATGAAAAAGCAAGATGTAACGCTATCAGAATAAGATCACACCAACGAGGCACCATTGTGGTGAGACAATCTACGATGTAGAGACAGTAATCGGGAGTCAACCGACGTACGGCCGCGATTTACTTTGCGGCGACTAAAATAAAACATGGCAAAAAAAAAAATTGAAAATCATAAAACGCGTTTTTTTTTTTCGTTTTTTTTTTATCTTATTCTTTGAGCGCAGCCGGTAGCAGAGCAGTTGGGCGGCGTCACGAAAATCTGACAGACTCGCTAGCTTTTCTCAACTTCGTACGGCGCCAGTCGGCACCACAGATGAATGGTCGGCACTCTTAGTCTACCTGGGAAAAAAAAAGTACGAGCTCAGAGCCCAGCGTCGATCGCGACTTTCGTAAAGAGAAGCTCCGGTAACACTCCGGCGACTCGCGAGCGTTAAACAACGCCTCTTCGAACGAGCCCACGAATCCAACACGTCGAACGGTTTGCGCCGGTAAGCACGCTGGGAGCCAGGGGGCTGGAGGTGGAATATCCGAAAGAGACGAGGCGCTGGTTTCTACGTCTATTTCGCACATGAGATAACAAGCCGAGTGATAGCTAGCCGAGTGTAAACACTGACTGAAGTTACATCAGAGTACACGCAGTCGAAATGACGTCTGCAACAGAGCACAGCCAGACGCTTTCAGCAGGGGACGCATGCGTTCAAATAAGCTGCGATTTCAAAACATCATGTATCCCTTCTGTCCTTCAGTGTTCACTTTGATCTGTGTATACCAAAGCACCCCATGCTGCAAGTAATAAAGTCGTCTATACGTACCTTTCGAAGCGATTGAAAGTGCGTTGGTTTCACTTGGAACCCACAAGCAAAGTGCGCGACGAACTTGACGAGCCGTTATCCGTCGGTCCCGCCATCGCCGCTGTCTCGCCGGGTTGGCGCGGTCGCGGTCGCTGCGCAATGGCGCAATCGCGTAATCTCGGCGGCTTGGCTAGGCTTGGCTGGATCGCCGGATTCGGCCACTCGGCGGCTCGCCACCTGTCTGGCTCGATGGGCTACTCGCGGCTTGCTCGGCTCGCCTCCCTTCGGAATTCCAACTGCCTCCGAAGCTCAAGCGCTCGAGCTTTCGCGCGCGCGGGTTGACGATGGAAAAATTTCTCATAAAACGAGTCTGTAACGTATCGTTTGATGGCGCAAATGCACGTATTTTTCCCGTCGTTTTTTACAGTGTGTGAATCTTGCGAAACAGGCAACGAAGAGTGGTCGGTGAAATGTGCTCGCGTGTGGTTGTGGATTTTGTGTACGACGTAGGATTACCCAGAAAGGTGGGTCAATATCGATAAATGTGCGGGTAAGAAGCACGTGACCTGTCAAGCCCATTAATCCTCATTATTTTATCGTGCGAACTGACATTGTCACGTATCGCGTTCGATTTGGGTTCCAACATCGGTAACCTAACTTTTGTTGCATTAAAACTGCAATAAACATTTGTTTGAAAACGATCACTCCAATGAGCACGTCGTTATTGGGCTTTCTCATTGAAAGGTAGGTCGCGGGTGTCCCAGCTAGTTATTCTGAATGGTTTGGTGGTTGTCTAGCATTTCAAGCGCTCGAGGCTGTGTGTACTGTGTGCCGTACGTACACTTGCGCTTTCGATCAATGTGAATGTGTTTGCAACGCGGAACGTTTATGTTCTGTGTGTATCCACCTCCAATATCGTTCTCTCTCGTATTGCCGTATGGTAACTCCTGCTGTTCTACAATATCATTCACGCGATGTCGTATATGTGGGCGTACCGATATCCACATGTTGCTTCACGGGCGATCAAGACTGTGTTACGTATCCTCTTAGTCCGCGGTATATGCCGACGTAATTCATGTTGGTAACTTGGAATTCCTTCTGAGATATATCCACGCGATATTGTATTCTCCTTTGGGCCCGTGATCGACGACCGATATTTATATATCATGTGGCCGCGCAGTATGTCCATGTCGGTCACCAATATGCACGCGGTGTCGTATTCTATTCCAATAACCGTAAGTTCTGTCGGGATATTGCGCTTCGATATCGTGTTGTATACCAATAACCGCAAGTTATATCGGGATATTGTGCTCCAATATCCTGTTGTATACCAATAGCCACATACTATATCGGGATATTGTGCTCCGATATGAATTCCCATCGTGCGTATTGGGTTAATCGGATAACAATAAGTTTTTATTGGTTTCCATCAACTTCATTGGAATACAGTATTTCCAATAAGCCGAGTTCATATTGGCCTTTTTCAATAGGGAAGGCACCGTCCTCGGCCCCCTTCTTTTTTTTAATCTACATTAATGACCTCCACCACGGCATCACTTGTGAAGTACGTTTGTTCGCCGATGACTGTGTCATCTATAGACCGATTCATTCACGCCACGATCAACCAATCTTGCAGAACGATCTCCAACTTATAATTCAGTGGTGTCATAAATGGCAAATGCCTTTAAACTTTAATAAATGTAAATCGGTATCTTTTTCCCGCAGTTCACATGTTCTATCCTCCTCTTACCACCTTTCTGGCATACCAGTAACTGCTTGTTCATTGCATAAATATCTAGGAATTCATCTGACATCTGACCTGTCATGGACCACTCACGTAACATCTGTTATCGCCGATGCTAACCTCACTCTCGGATTTCTTCGCCCTAACCTCAGACAAGCTACATCCCCAGTAAAAAAAAACTAGCTTATACTACCGTGGTCAGAACTAAACTAGAATTTCCTTCTTCCATATGGTCATCGTGGCAGTCATACCTAACTAACAACCTGGAATCCGTTCAAAGCAGAACCCTCCGTTTTATTTATTCTGACTATTCCCCTTACGCAAGCATATCAGGATTTCGCCAATAAGCTAACCTTGAAAGTCTTTCTCACCGCCGCAGGATGTGTTATGTCTGCGGTGCAAGGAGTGGCCAGACGAAGGATGGACTGCGAAACAGCTTTATTTCCGCAGAGGCCGGCAGCGGTCTGGCTGCGCGTATGACGGTGCTCTTCTTATAGAGCGCCCGGTGACGTCAGTACTATGCGTACTGCTGATAGCAACGGCAGCGGCCTCTAGCACTTCCTCCACCGCAATTTGGAACGTCATGAGGCTTCATAGCGATCGGGGGGTCTTCTCTGGCGTTGTGGGTATCGCCGAGGCGCAGCGTTAGTGGGGGTGACGGGCACCGCTTGTCTTGCGGAGACAGTAGACGGAGGTGGTACGTCGGCTTCAGACGCAGGATAGATGGTGTCGGTATCGTCCTCCCCCACAAGGGACGGCGCTGTCACTGCAGTAGACGCTGAGCGCAGGTGGTCCTTGTGTCGCCTCCAAGTACGGAGTCCATCCGGTGTCCGCACCTTGACCACGTAGGACACTGGTCCCGTCCGCTGCAGTACTGTTGCGTGGAACCATGTGGGGCCGCTCCTGAAATTACGCACGAACACTTCATCGTCCACTTCGAACACACTGTTAGCACCCCTGCGCCGTGAAGTCTGTTCAAACTGACGTGCTCGGATAGTACGATCCAGAGCCGGCTTCAGTGCATCCAACCGTGTTCGTGGCCGACGACCCAAAAAAAGAAAAGATGGGGTTTCTTGAGTCGTCGCATGCGGAGTGTTGCGATATGTCATTAAGAACTTTGACAAGGTTTCCTCCATACTTTCAGTTGCAGGGCCTTTTCGTAGTGCGTTCTTTAGGGTTTGCACAAATCTCTCTGCGAGTCCATTGCTGCTGGGGTGATATGCAGAAGTGAGAACCTGTCGAACTGCCTGTTCTTTAAGGAACTCTTTAAACTCGGACGATGTAAACTGCGCACCGTTGTCACTAACCAGAGCTTCTGGTGCCCCATACCGAGCGAATAAATCGCGCAGTTTTGTTATCGTCGCTTCTGCGGTGGTAGACGTCATGACAAAAACCTCCGGCCATTTAGAATGCGCGTCTACAATGACTAGTAGCATACGACCGCGAAGAGGGCCCGCAAAATCTACATGTACCCGTGACCACGGTTGTGTCGGCCATGACCAAGGGTGCAATGGTGCCTTTTCTGGCATGTGGCGCTGCTGTTGGCATGCCGTGCAGTGTCTCACTTGGTTCTCCAAGTCCGTTTCCAAGGAGGGCCACCATACGTAGCTTCGGGCGAGTGCTTTGCTCCGCACTATTCCTGGGTGTCCCTGGTGTAGCTCCTCCAGGACCAGCTGTTGAAGTTTCGGGGGCACGACGACTCTCATTCCATGCATCAGGCACCGCTCGTGGACTGTGAGTTCCCTGCGTCTGTCAAAATAGGGCTTCAACACTTTATCATCAAGATGTGATGGCCATCCCTTCTTGGTGAAGTCTACGACCAAGCTGAGGACGGGATCACGCTCTGTATGACGCGCGATGTCCCTACTGGTGACTGGTAGAGATGCCAATCGCAGCGTATAAAACGTCTCGTCGTGACTGTCGTCTACTTCTGTGGACTGCAACGGAAGTCGTGAAAAACAGTCCGCGTCCGCGTTCTCTGCGGACGTCCTGTAGGCAAGTTTATACTTGTAGGCTGACAGAGTTACCGCCCACCTCTGCAGTCTTGCGGCGGCTATTGCCGGGATCCCACTCTTTGGCCCAAGGATCGCTTGCAAAGGTTTATGATCAGTAATCAACGTAAACTCCCGACCATAAATGTAGAAGTGGAATTTCTTGACGCCAAAGATTAGGGCGAGCGCCTCCTTTTCAATCTGGCTATAGTTTTCCTCAGCCTTTGATAATGTTCGGGAAGCGTAGGCAATTGGCCTTACCGTGCCATCTTTCATGACGTGCGACAGCACAGCGCCGAGACCATACGCAGACGCATCGCAGGATAGCTGCAGCGGGCGTGCCGGGTCGTAGTGTGCCAGCACCTCCGTCGAAGACAAGATTTCCTTGATGGCTTGGAAGGCATCTTGACATTTCCGATTCCAGCACCAGGGAGCATCCTTCTGTAGTAACCTGTAGAAAGGCTTTGCCAGCGTTGCTAGCCGTGGCGTGAATTTTCCATAGTAATTTATCAGTCCAAGCAGTGAACGCAACTGTGCGATGTTAGTAGGCGCTGGGGCATGCAGCAACGCTTGAACTTTTTCCTCGCTTGGCTTGACGCCGGTCTCGCTGATAATGTGCCCCAGATACTGCAGGCTTTCTTTGAAAAATTCACATTTTTCACGCTTGACGCGAACACCTTTCTGCTGAAGTGTACAAAACACGGCTTCAAGGTTCCTGAGGTGTTCTTCAGCGGTTGCTCCCGTGACGAGAATATCGTCAAGGTAGCATATGACACCCGGTAGTCCTTTAAGTATGTTGTCCATAATGCGCTGGAACAACGCGGGCGCAGACGCTACTCTGAAAGGGAGTCTGTTCACCGCAAAAAGCCCTTTGTGCGTGTTTAGTGTGAGAAGTTTTTTTGAGTCCTCCGACATCTCTACCTGCTGGTATGCCCTGCTAAGATCTAGCTTGGAAAAGTATTTGCCTCCGGCGAGCGCAGCTAGTATTTCCTCAAGTTTGGGCAGGGGGTACTGCTCCGTGTCTAGGATAGGGTTCAACGTTGTTTTGTAATCCCCGCACACACGTATGGTGCCGTCCTTTTTAACTACCGGTACAATAGGCGTAGCAAACTCACTGGTTGACACTTGCGTAATGACGCCCATTTGTTCAAGCTTCTGCAACTCTTCCTCTACGGCCGACCGGAGTGCGTAAGGCACGTTTCTCGCTTTGAGGAACTTCGGACGTTGCTCTTTCAAAAATAAAGTGGCTCGCTCACCTTCTATCTTGCCAAGGGTGCCGTCGAAGATGCGGCTGTACTTGGCTTGAAGTTCTTTTAGGCGTGCCTCGTACTTCTTGCTTGCATCAGACCGATGAGAGTCCGACAGCTTGTGTACGCCGCAGATGTTGTCCCAGTCCAGACGAAGACGTGTGAGCCACTCGCGGCCCAAAAGAGGCGGGCCATTGTGGTCAACTACGTAGAGGGGTAGAACGTCCTCTTGACCCTTGTATCTTACGGACGCTTTGACGAAACCGCAGGGTTGCACGACTTCCCCGGTGTAAGTCTTGAGGCGTAGCTCGGTGGGTTCAAGCTTCAAAGGAGGCTGAAATTTCTTGAACTGCTGCTTCGGTATTATGGACACCGTGGCTCCCGTGTCCAATTCCATGCTCAAGGAAGTTCCTTGAACTTCCACGTCGACGGTGATGGGTCGCCGGCTTTGCGGTGACAGCATCTTGACGTTGAATGTGTCGTCGCTTTGAAGAGTCCGGACCCACTTCTTTCCGCCAACAGTCTTCTTCTTGGCACTCCGACATGCACGCTGAACGTGACCCTTCTTGCCGCAATTCATGCACTTATCTGCAATGTGCGGACACGCCCGGGCGAAATGCTTATCAGAGCCACAGCGATAACACTCGAACGACTGTTTCCTTTTCGCGGAATCTTCGGTACTCATCTTGTGCAAGTCATCGCTCCTTTCTTTTGCGTGCGCCTCCTGAACATTTTTTTTAGCTTCTTCTAACGCGAGTGCGCGTTCAACGGCTTTTTGAAATGTCAACGTTTTATCCTCTGCAAACAAATACCGCTGTATGTCCGCACGGAACAAACCGCACACGAACCGATCTCTCAGCGACTCATCTAGGAAACCGCCAAATTCACAGGTTTGAGAGAGCTTCCTGAGCTCCGCTACATATTGTGCGATACTCTCGTGTTCCAACTGACTACGGCGATGGAATTTCGCTCGTTCTCCAATCACTGATACTCTCGGTGACAGCTGGTTTCGCAGCAATTGGGTTAGTTGCTCTAGCGTGTTTTCTGACGGTTTGGCAGGTGCCGTCAAAGACTTCAAGAGACTGTACGTTTTAGGCCCAATAACGCTTAAAAAAGCATGCACCTTGAGGTCGTCAGGTATTTTGTTGATCAGAAAAAAGGACGTCAACCTTTCTTCATAAGACTGCCAGTCACTCACAGTTTCATCGAAGGCTTCTACTTGGCCGATATGACTGGAGGATGCCATCTTGAGAAACTTGCTGTCGCCGAGTACCCAGCGGCTTGCGGTGATGTTTCGCTGTCTGTTTGGACGCAGCTTCAAGGCTTCTCACCTTCGTCTTGGCTTTGTTGCCCCCATCTTCGTCGCCAGTTGTTATGTCTGCGGTGCAAGGAGTGGCCAGACGAAGGATGGACTGCGAAACAGCTTTATTTCCGCAGAGGCCGGCAGCGGTCTGGCTGCGCGTATGACGGTGCTCTTCTTATAGAGCGCCCGGTGACGTCAGTACTATGCGTACTGCTGATAGCAACGGCAGCGGCCTCTAGCAGGATGTCTCGTCTTTCTCTTCTTCATCGGCTCTTTTATTACAACAGTCATCTCAGACAGAGTTTACTATCGCCTCCTTACCGCATTTTCCCTTGTCTCGCCCATTCTTGTAAACTCCGTCCAATTTCATCGACAACCGTCACTCACCAAATGTCTACTTTACCATTGGCCATTGACGACTGGAACTCACTGCCTGGCGTAATTCTTCCCTTATCTGACACTAGGAAATTTTCTGCAGCCATTAGCTTATTTCTTTCTAACCTATAACTAGATTGCAGCGTGTTTTTGTCGATAAATATTTGTGTTATTTAATTTTGATGTGTTCACTCCCTTGTATGATGCCCCCTGGGCCTTCAAGGAACAATAAATGATGATGATGATGATGACGGCTTGAGCATGAATTAAAGTGCACTTCTTCTGGTTAAAATAACCCGTTTGAGTTGGAGAATGCGTTCATTTTAGAAATTAAAATGTCACGATTGGACACCGATGCTGCGTCAGCGTAGGCTGGGGCTAGTGTTGTACCTGTAAGGACACAGACCCAAACGCTGCGGCCACATCCGTTACCAACCTGTGACCCGGATTGACCTCCGGTACGTGACGTAGAACACTACGGCCTTGTTTTTAGGGAAGATGCGACGCTCGAACCCAGCCGAGAGAGGCGAAAGGCGACTCACCGGTGACGCAGCGCACGACTCCGTTGAAGGCGACCTCGACGGGGCGGTAGAAGGGGCACTGGCAGCGGCCCTTGGGCTCCCGTGCCCGCTTGATGCAGATCTGGCTCGAAGAGCGCCGGCAGTCCATGTCGTCGTCGCACGTCTCGTGCCGCTCCGGACGCACGGGCGGACGAGTGGGCCGTGCTGCACCGCGGAAGTGGCCAATGGGTCAGACCTGTGTGGGGCACTGCTGCAGATGTCCCATTGTTGCACAAAATACTCGATAAAAGTATCTAAGTTAAGTTACTAAATACCCCCTTCATAAAGTATTTAAAATACTACTCAAGTTACCTTCACTGTAAACTATCTTGAGTAGAGTACAAATACTTAGAACTCTAATTCAATTACTTTTGAAGATAGTTTCGCATTGCGTAATTTGTATCGACGTCACTCACAACGAAAATTATAGAGCTGCGCAAATCTTTGTTACCAGAATGGTTTATTAGCACACAACAATACAAAACGGAAAAGAAAAAAAAAGTATGGTAGGGCTATTTCATGCAGTCCAACTATGAGGAGCAGGATATTGTCAAGAATGACAAATGATGAGGCCGCGAATAACTGAAGAAACTAAACGCTTAATGGGACGAACTTGTGCCCAAGACAAAATATCTGAGAAAGGCTAGCGTCGCAGGCGTCGATGTCGGCGAAACAGCATGATCGAGCGCTGGGGGCGAGACTGACTCCGGAGCACCTTTTGTACTCGTGTGGGTTTCTGGACCATTCGGCGTAGAACGTTCGGCGCGTAGAACATTTGTAACTGAATCAGACGACAATGTTCTCGAACTTACGAGTATGTCAAGTTGAAAGAATAAATAAAAGAGGAGTCCGCATCCTGGTATCGAACCCGGAGCCTCCGCGCGAGAGCCAAGCGCGGTAACCATTCGGCCACGCGCTCGCTCGGCAACGCGCGTGGTAATATCACTGATACATGTTACAAAACATTTCTGCGACAACAAGAAAGAGGTCGCTTAATGGGGAAAAGATCAGACCGTGGCGCCCCAAGCGGTTAACTTTGAAACTACACGAAAAGAGACATTGAATAGCAATGACTCAGCGCGCGGCTGACAAAATCGAACGCGGCTGGAGTTCGTGTTTTCCGGTGAGGGGGAGGAGGACTCTTATTACCACTCCGGCCTGCATAAACAATACAGCATGCACAGTGCCCAGCTCAGCACAAAAGCCCAAGTGGGTCACGCTCGCATGCTCTGACAACTGCTTTCAGGAGAGATCCGGCACTTAACATCACTTTGCAATTTTTTAGTAGTTTTACATAACTTTGTGCCCCGCGCTCTTTTACAAAAAGGTGACATGAACATGCCCACAAGGGCTGTTGGCATGTGCACAGGCCTTGTGTTGAGTAAACACCGAGATGTGGGTGCAACAAACGGGTCAGAGCGCCTCGTCAATAGTGACATCGCTTAATATCACGTCCTGCGGCGCACCTTAGACCAGTGGCAGATCCAGGGGGGGGGGGGGGGGGGGCGGTGGGGGCGATCGCCCCCCCCCCCCCCCCCCCATACGCCTCGCCAGGCAACTCCCCCTCCCCGGGGTTCTTCGTCAGCTCGAAGAACAAACGTAAGCAATCGACGCGAGGGACAAAAGATTAAAACAGCAGTTGGTGGACGCGCCTGCTGGGCGCCTCCAAAGTGGGGTTTATCTCCGTCAAGGTCACGGTACGTCTTCTCGACAGGGACGGCGCCAGGAGTTTCGGAGTGGAGAGACAGTGGGGAGGCGCACCAAATATTAGGGTCCTCGACTGCAGGCACACTTCCAAACAAGGCCAGCACGTCGAGCACGGGGGAAAATACCTTCAACATATCTAGTCCCCTTTCTCTCTCTCTGTCTCCCTCTCTCTCTCCCTCTCTCTCTTTGGAGGTTGTCTGCGAAAAATTTGTGCTCTGAAAGCTCCCAAACGCAGACGCCAAGCAGCCTTCCTCAATGGTACGATCCTATACACAGCGGATTATCCTTCCTCTCCAGCGGCCGCCTTTTCATCACTTTTCGTTTGATGGTTTCTTCGTGGTTGTGGGCTTATCCTTTGGCATGTCTCTTTTGGCTTGCTTTGAGATGCTGTCGCCCACGGGCTCACTAAAGGTATCTTATTGGCAGGGTGTGCTCATTGCCTAAGGAAGTGCGGAGGGGACGTACCAGGAGGAGACGTTCCCGGGGGGGGGGGGGGGGAGGGGGGGGGGGATGCAGCTTGTACAACCAGGTGACCAATTGCTTTTCTTCTCAACTGAGAGGAAGCAAATGCTCTGGGTACAGTGTAGTCTGTGTCTGAGCTTCTCCTGAAGACGCTTCGGACTTCCCCACGACCTTGGCTTAAACATAAGCCCGCTTTCGTCCTCGCCTCCATCCCTCACTGAGGATCAGCGCCGCAGCGCGGAATACAGAAAGAAGCCGACGAGCGCCAGAAGGGGGAGATGTTTCCTCTAATGGGCTTCATACGGCCTGCGGTACGACTTCTCGTGGCGGGAAGCTAATAAAAGAAAGATAAACGGTACGAGCACTCTAAAGGCTGGAGGCTGCTTACACGGGGTCCTCAAGCCGACGCCGTAGGCATTTATTTGTATACAATGCCGTTTCAACTTAGGGTGGCGGGACATATTTTAGAAAAGGCGCCCGCTACGCCTTGTCTCCCCTTGGTGCCGTCTTTACTTTTCGAGTTAAACGCGGTTTCTGTGGATTGTCGGCAGAGCTCTCGCGCGGCTTTGCAGGAGCGAATATGTGTGTGTCGAACGGAAAAGAGGCGGGCTTGCTGGTTTGCAACTGCGCCTTCGAATTCATTACCTAGGGTCTTGGGGAAAACGAGCCCTTTCAAAGATGCGACTATACATAAATTAAATAGACAGTGCCTGTGCCCGTTCGAGTGAACACCGACTCTTAAATATCCATGCTGCAGTCGTGATCGGCCTTTAGCCCAGTTGAGATACGCCGACCGGACAACCGCTCTGCCCCATCATATCTCTGCACCTGTCCTCTCGACCCTGACGAATGAGGTAACTACCCAGAAACAAGTGAGTGTTCCTTTCATACAAAAAATATCCAGAGGAAGTACAATTGAAAATAATTTGGAACGATTCATTGCTGGTTTATGGTCTTGTCTAAGTTTAAAAGTTGTAGTTGCCGAACTGCAACATGCTTCCAAAAATATTCAACAATTATTCGCTTTCGTTCTCTTGAGTTGCATCCAGAACACGCGAAAACACGAGTTTGGGTTGGCAATGCCGCATGTGCTGCGCTCTGGACATTCCAAATATACGGCGAACAACCGACAACTTGCCTGGCAGCGTTCGTTTCGCTCGCTGCATCAACAGTGTTTTGACGCCGCGAGCAGCGTCGAAGCCGCCGGGCCACTTTTGTCGCTTGTTTGCAACGTACTCGCTCCATTGAAGCAACCGGCGACAATGAGAGTATGTTTTAAAACCACGTTCTGCATTTTGGCACTGAATATAAAGTTCTAACTACTATGCCAAGCTTAATCTCAAAGAACAGCTTAATCTCAAAGAACAGCCGAGTTTTAGATTAAAACGTTTTTCGCATTGTCATTAGCTGTATGAACTTCCTCCCTATAGTTGGTAAAGGTACATGCTCTGCGGGTGTAACGAGAATATACAAATATTCACGCAAAGGAGCCCAAAAGTTGTAACCCTGCCGGGGATATTTGAGCCATCAAGTTACACTGTCTTCGATTGTGACAGCCGCTATAGCACCAAACATTCATCCCCAGTAGTTAAACTTCTTTTTCTATTTCTAGCGCGTTGCCACGCGAATGGAGTAATCGCGTTTCCTATGAACTACAAAATTCCTTACATCATGGTGTTCAGAAAGGATAGCGCCACAACAATTTTCTATATACTTACCTCTAGCGTGGTCACCCTAAAGGTTTTAATTCAAAGAGTTCATCCCCGACAGGTAAACCGATACAAAAGCTCTCAAGATCTAAATTATGTTATCAGAGTTAAGTAAAAACAATAACCCCACAAAAAATATACGCACTTCCCCCTCCCCCCCCCCGCCGCTTTACACCGAGGAACCGCCTCCCCAAAAATGGAGGTCTGGATCTGCCCCTGCCTTAGACGCATCGTGTAACTACAATCCATATTCCCTGTATGGGGAGTTCACTATAAACAAACTTGGGATACGGATATGAGTGGATGGATAACAAAGAGAACCCACATAATAGCCACGGCAGTAGTCCACCTTCTTCAAGTAGGTTGCGTTCAGAGAGGCACTCAGCGTTGGGGTCAGCTTTGTTGGGAATATTAGAGGTCATTCAGCTTTTAGTTCGTTTCCTGTCCTGTTCTCTGCTTATTGGTGTTCGCTTACAGACAGTGTTCGCGAGAGCAATAAGTGACGGACTGACAAAAAAGAAAATAAACAAAAGAACGCTTAGACGTTTTGCAGTAGCGCCAAATATACTACAAGCAAAACAAAAATGTCTTTTTTTGTGTGTCCACTTCCCTTTTTTTTTTTTTTTGTTATCTTCTTGACATTGAAGTCTGCATTGTTGTCGTAGGTCGCTTCCCGGTCTTCGTTACGCCTCAGAGGGGCAATCGTAACTTCCGTAAAACCACCCCTTTTGTATGAGGATTTTTCGGGGGAAATTCCAGGAATCAAAAGGCGCCTTTGAGAAGGCGAAAGGAAAACTTTCATTGTACGAACTTTGGGCTGAAATATGAGTCACAATCGGCAAAAAGCGATGTCTTCACGAGCTCAATCAAAGTCACCTTAGCTAATCGGCGCTAGCAACGGGATTTGGTTGCTCGAAAGAATGTTCAAATTTGCTCGTGCCACGCCCACGTCACTTGATACCGAAAAACTTGGAAAATGAAGGAATTTCAAAAATGTATTTCAGATAACAAGTTTAAGATACTCACAAATGTGATTAAAACAGAGTATCAAATACTTGGAAGATACCAAGACACTTCAAAAAGTATTTGAAATACAGTATCTTGAGTAGAGTATTTGAGCTACGCACAAGTTTGATTATGTCCTAAACCATAACAAATTAAAAAAACAAAAAAAAACATAGGTAGTATATCTTGTTAATTAAGTGGCTTTATTAGGTCACCTTGATATTATATTTTTTTTTGTTTGTTTTAGGTACGCTCATTAATGAAAAAGAAAGATTTTGTTGCTATAATCTTTTTACATTCAAGAAAAGGCTGCAGTGTATGTCTTGCTACTATAAAGAGAAAACCTATCCTGTTTTCCGGACTCAAAAGAAACCATAGCAAAATTGTTTAAAAAGTTGCACTCTCAAATCGGTCTGTTTGCTCACTGCGTGAACAATTAGTAGCGCACACGATTGATACTCCTCGTGTGGAAAGATTCGTGCCATACGGCGGTTTGGCCGATGGGGTACGTAACTTTTGCCATTTGGAAAGTGATATTGGAAGACTGTATTGCTGGTCTTACTTTCTCTTCTTTTTTGTGCGCGTCTTTGCGGGAATAAAGGTTTTATATAAAGGTAGATATTTTCTTCCGGATATTCACTTGACACGGTCAGATTTTAGCGCTGCAAGCTTTCTCCTTAAAGGGTAACTGCAAAGATTAACAAGTGTTTTTTTAAACAGCCTAGTTGGGACAAGCATGTCGGAAAACAAATCTTCCGCAAAACATACATTTCGTTTGTAGAAATATTTACGCCACAGGACGTAATTTAGTCGGAGTCAGAACCTCTCCGCATTTGAAACTCACGCTCTTTCGACAAGCGCGGAGGAGTAGTTCGCCCCGCCCTAGGGTGAACACCCGTCCCGCGACTCGCGGGACTGTCCCGCATCGAGGGCTCGTGTCCCGCGTCCCGCAAGAAATATCAAAATCTTCAAAATGTCCCGCATTTCACACTGTGGTAAAACTCACTACACAGCCTATGGCGCTGCCGAACAACGGGGCACAGGGAAACGCGGAGATCGCTGGTGAACGTCTGAATCGCGATAGTACACCATTTTCTATCAAAGAATTGTGGGAAGTGATCGTCGTTTTTGCAAGAGATATGACGCGCATGGGCCGTTGTGCCTCTCTTCCCTTGGTGGCAAAATATTGCAACGAACAATTGCCCACCAAAAGTTGAAAATAAATTATTTTAATTATTTTCAAATCGTGCTGCGTCAATGCGAAAAGGTTGCTGCGGAAACTTTTTTTTATTAATTTATTTTAGTAAAGACGATCACACAAGACAAGAAGACTGCAACTCACAACGGTAAAAAACAACAACGTAAGATTCGAAATTTGTGGAGGAGCATGTTGGTAAAAATACGAATCGACAGAAAACGAGAAGATTCTTCTCGTTTTCAAAACGATAGAAGAAGCTACTGCTTCTTTTATCGTTTGATGCATTGAGTTATGTTGCAGTCGATTTTATGTTTTCAACTCATACAATGTCACTTGTGGTTAAAATTATTTGAGCTTAAATGCCGGGACACAATTTGCAGCTGTATGATATGCTCTCAGACAAGACAGGATATCAAATGTGTTACAGGAGCCGCATTTCGTGGCGTGTGTTGGTAACTTTACTCGTATAGTTATTTTTCCATTATGTTTTTTAACCTGAGACCGGGGCAGAAGGCGGAAAAACCATTTTCCTCCACCTGCCCTAGTCTCTGGTTAAAAGGCAGAATGGTAAATTTCCACCAGCCCGACTGCGCACTAAGTTCCTTTTTTTGCTGTTGCCACAGCCGAAATGTCATACCGCTCTTTTATTACAACCTCCCCCCCCTTTCCCCAAGGTCAGCGTATCCCGCATTTTGCTAGCAGGAAGGTGGTCACCCTACTCCGCCTCTCACTCTTGGATTTACTTGGCTGCGGAGTCGTACGCAGCGACGCGACTTTCGGGATCGGGGGGAGGGGAAGAGGAAGAGGAAGAGAAGAGGGGGCAGGAATGGGGGGAAGGTGCGGAAGGTGCCGCCGATGTACGCTGGAAGCTAGAGCCGGTTTGCTTTCGTTGTTTTTGTTTGGTCGGAGAAAATCTGGCAACAACGCACGTTCGACATAGCGCCGGTATTGTTTTGGTTTGACAGCACGCCAGAAGCTCCGGAGTTTGCGAGGACATGTAGTGAAGACGTGACCAAAGAAGTGCCCCTGTGATGTTCCCGAAAGAAGGAAAGTATCATCCGTAATCGTCGTGTCTGCTTTGAAAGCGAAGGGAATCAAAAGGTCCACGAGTGCGCAACCACAAGCCAACGTCCATGACAGCGTTGACTACGGCGATCTCGTTCTGTTTGGTGCAACACGGCGATGCGACAAAGAACTGAAACGTTCGAGGTGTGGTGCGCTGCTTGGAAGTAGAAACTCACACTAACACGGAGCTCAAATCGGTTGTTGTGGGGTTCAGGTTCAACGGGTTCAGTCCCATCGTCGCAAGCTGATCCGGTCCAGCTGGTCCGGGAGGACGCAGCGAGCGTCTTTAAAAGTATATCTTCCTTTGTTCCGTTTCAAAATGTTGAAGATTCCCGATGCATACCGCGAGTAGAAAGGCGCTGGCGTTTTCAACAAAATTACGTCGTTTTAATTGAACATTGGACTTCGGATTGTTGTCCTAAATCTGCCGTTTTTACGCTTCGTGTTGCTGGACTGCGTTTGCACAGCGACGTGTTTCCACAACGGCGCACACCGCTCGCGCAGATGATTCGGTCCTGCAAACGACCGGTTATACAGAATTTCAAGGAAACAAGTCGCCACCGATATTTTCCGGTAAATCTCGTGCGAGTTACCTACGCTCATCATGCGGAGTGAATAAAGTTGGGCAAGATTTAATACCTGCCCACAGATGCATGAACTGAGACCATTAGTTACCTAGTGAACATAGTGCTTTTTTTTTATTTTGGGAACAGGCGTTGGTGCATTTGTTATGGTACAATCACTTGAGAGTTCAGAAATTGTGGAGGGCGAGCAGGCTTTCCCAACTTTGCCTCTTTTCTATCTGACACTGCCCCTGGTTTCAAGTCGCAGTTTCAGTAGTCATACCTACTAGCAGGTATAAACTGCTCTAAAGCAGGTAAAAGACTGGGAAGTCAGGAAAGTAGAACTCGGTGTTTCGCCCTTTTCGCAAGGTGACTGGGGGAGTGCTTTTACCAGATGTGCGGGATGTGCAAAACATTTTGTAATGTACGTCGTTTGCGTCTCCAGCAAAACGAATAAGATGATCTACAAAGGTGCAATCACAAGCCAAGATTTACGATAACGGTACACATACAATTTAAAACAACTTTACGTAAGATGGTTCAGAAGCCGAGGAAAAAAATCTGTCGGCTACCGCAGAATTCGGACGTCCGAAAGCTTACGAACTGCTTTACGTAATAATCTGGGTGTGCGAGGTTTTCTACGTAACAGCTGTGTCTCAGTCGCGGACGTTCGATGCCCCCAGTGCAAATCTCGAAATGAAGAGAACATTCCTGGACGTTTGTCGCTACGAACGCCCGGTTGTCGCGATCACTCATCTGAATCCACTTTGCAGAGCAACGGTGCCGAATTAAAGGAGCTGACACCTAAAAAAAGAAACAAAAAAAAACATTTACATGCGCAAGCAAAAGAAAACGCTAAGAAAGCAAACAACAAGCACCTGGGTCAACACAAAACAGTGATCACTTCGGCGAAACGACTATTGAGGTAGGCGAGACAGGCGGGAGCAGAGACTTCGGCGGCCATGAAAAAATGGCAAAGCTTATGTTTGTTATGGTATGAATACAAACGGGAGTGCCCGTCTCGTAAACCATTTAAAAAGAATAATGACTCTAATTGCATGGATTATTCTTTAAACGTAGAAATATGCCGCTCAAAAGGAAATTACGATATATAACAAAGGTTTGAACAACCAAGATCTAAGCTGTCAATCAAACTCTTAGCCAATGAGAAGAGTTGCTATCGGATGTCGCTCCGTGACGTGTAGCATCCAGTCCGTGACGTTTAGCAGCCACTCCGTGACGTGTAATACCCACTTTTTGGCGCGCGATTTAAAACAGACGAAATAGCCGCAAACTAAAATCAGTCCCGTGCAATAAATATTGTATTTTTTTTTTTCGCGGAACAATTGTCTTGAGGCACGCTTGTCCCAATTGGGTTGTTAAAAAAAAACATTTTTTTTTTCAGTTACCCTTTAGCGATTAATGCGCCGATATCCTGTAAACGAAACGTTTCACTTAATGGTTATTTTGGTAACTGCACGTGCACCTCATTGTTTTGTTTTAGTACAAAAGGCGTACCAAATTGATTTACACTTCATTATTTTTGGGGGGATAGCGTTCCATTGAGGTTGGCAGATTTGTCCACTTTCTTAACAGACTCTCTTGTAGCCGAATGCACTTGCACGAGCTGTTTGGCATAATTCCATGCGCTGGCAGAGCCAATTTTTGGAGACGCATCGCACCTCCACCTGGACAGCTGCATTCAGATTCGCAGAGGCCGCGATATGGCGTCCTCGCATAGGTGTTATCACATCATCAAAAACGTGGTAATCACTGGGAGACTGATCGAGGCCGTGCCCATGCACGACTAAAGGTCAAACAGGTCAATCGACGCGTTAGAATTGCCGAATCGGACTAGGCGGCCCCCAGTCATTGCTTCACGTGAGTGAACGCGACGCCGTAATCGGCGGCACTTGGCGAGGTTCAGCTATCTTTCAAACGCGTCGTACGCCCTTTCAGTTTTTCATCATGCATAGGTTCGTTCTGATCTGGCCCCCAATGGCTATCACCACTGCGGGACCATAAAACAAAACCAGCGAAGATGCCATTGGTGAGCTGGAAGCAGCTGTCCAGGCTTATGTGCGATGCACTTCCAATAAGGGGTTAGCATGGCATGAAAAAACTGCAACGCAAATGGTGTAAAATCAGTAAGTTCTAAGAAGAGTCTAATGAGAAGGTGGCATATCTTCCGACCTCTATGTGGCCTGTATCACAGCAAAATAATTGACTGTAAATCAATATGGTACGGCCTTCGTACATATCCTCATAAACTAATAGCTAAGCAATTTGCCCTCTGCCATTTCTTCTATAGTCCTGTTTGCGTACTCTTTGCGAGTTGGATTATTATTTAGTTTTGCTGGTTCTGTTTGGATTCCTATTAAATTTGCCTTTTGCTCATGTCCCCTTTCTTCTTCACAAGAAGGAACGAAGTAGGTGTTACGGAACAGCACGCACTCCTGATCTCGAAGGACCTCCTACGGAAGACCTTGTTATAAAAGACTCCACCGCCTTCAGCCTTTTCAGCGACGTCAGCGTAGCGATCCCGCCGGTTCAGCTGTTGATGATGATGATGATAATGACGTAGCTTCTGGATGCCTTGAACACCCACGGGCGCCTGCCTGGCGTCGCCCTTCCTGAAGACAAAAAACATACAAGGGAAGGATATATAGGGAGGATTTGCGGTTGGTAGGAACGAACCGTACAGATGTGGTGACGGTGAGACCACGTTGTTATTTAATGGAGGCCAAGTTTGGGCGCGCGAGGCACGTGACGCGATAATTGATTGCGCAGCCAGCGCGACTGTCCCGGCGTCGTCGTCTCGTCCTTTAACCCAGCTTTGCACCGATACATGAAGAGCATTCTGAAGCTACGGATTAGTTCGGGTGAAGTTAAATCAGGATAGTGCAATATTTAAAACCAGCATTGTATTTTGCTTGGTTGCCATCCTGTCTACTAGTCTTCGTCTTATTTTTTGTTGCTAACCTTATGCAGAAAAATAGTCTACACTGTAAAAAATGTACGTAAAATATACGTGCATTTTCACAATCAAAAAATACGACGCGCTTTCGTATTTTTAAAAGACGAGTTGTGATCGTTTCTCGGAGTGAACGGGGCGAAAAGCGCGCGCGGCGAGCCGAGAGCCAGGGGAGCATGCCAGGCGCCAGGACGCCGAGCATGCGCAGAGAAGGGCGAACCCGACCCGTGCTCGACGCCCGGAGGCCCCCCTCTCCCTTTCCGGCGCGTCGTCGCGTTTGTTCATGTACCGCCAGTACCGCCGCGTGTAGGACGTACTAACAAACTTTCTCTTTACGTTCGCGCGGCAATCACAACCTCGTGGTTTTTGGCGTTGCCTTGTAAGCCGTTCCCTCCATTCGTTCCTTGCGGGAAGCGACGTCCAAAGGTATGCACCACTCCAGCAAACTTTCTATGTAATATCGGAGACAATATGAGCGTGAACGCGCCTCCGCTTGTCACTGCGGAAGCGCGTTCACGCTCTTATTGTTTCCGATAGCACTTTACCCTTTCGCACAGCAATCGAAGCCTCGTGGTTTTTGGCGTGGCCTGTTTGGCTGTATCGCGCCGTTCCCTCCGTTCGTTCCTGGCGGAGCGACGTCCAAAGGTATGTGAACACTACTTTATTGCTTCAAAGAAACATCGAAAGGCATAAAAAGAAGGATGGAGCTTTTTGAAATCTGTACTCCAAAGTGCTACTGGTCCCCGCTCTGCATTGCCGTCGGTAGTGTCTGCGGTGCTGCATGAGGACCGAGTGTGAGTGCGTCCTTTTGAATAACTCTTGTATTTAAAATCCAATACATTTGGCGTGTCTTTAAAGGTTCAAATTTCAAACGTGCTTACCTGAAACTGGTCATACAAACATTTTTGAGCCAAGAGTATTATGTTTTTTCTCTTATTCGTCAACTCTGAAGCCGTGGAATCTTAAAAACAGAACAAGAACGGCTACCGTGCATATTTTCGTTGCCGTCGGCTCCGGTAATGTAGTACTGAATGCAAAAAAGAAGCCTCTATCCTACAAGAGGCTGGTGTCCAGCAAAATAATCGCGTTAAATAATGATTTGATCGAGGCGTTTGAAAAATTGTGCATTTCTCGGAACAATGTTAGTGCCTTCTTTTTGCAAATCTGGATAGCTCGCCGAGTGAATTCCTGTGCCCCTTGTAAATCGCGAGCGATCTCTCTGTGTGTTGCGCTTGTAGATCGGGAGACTAACTGATGTGCCCAAGGAGGTGGAGCGCGTAGAGCGGTTGAAAAAAATTCGCTGCGTAGTGGTTCTGCATAGGCTCGCGCGGTTGACGTATGTATATTCACTCGCGACATTTCGGTTTCGATGTTTATGCCGCCGTGTTCGTCACAGCCGCGACAGCGATCGTATCCATTTCGCTAGCAGTACTTTTGATGTCATGTTATCAGGAAAAACAACCGGACGAACGGTTGTTTTTCCCATTTCGTTCTGGGGACGCCCAAACGAATAAGCAAGACGAAAAAAAAACAAAAAAAACAGGTGCAACCTTTTTTTTTTGTGTAATGTAGATCTTTCATAAATAAACGTTTCTTCATTTTAAAATATTTGTTAATCTGGGTAATTGGTCATTTAATTTGTAAAAATAAATCTTCATCGCAATTATATCGTTCATCGCCAGCTGCAAATTTTGCCAGCGTGCTAAACGTGCCAGCGTTTACAGTCACACCGAGTACATTTATGCGGACGGTAAATTCAAAAAGGTTTCCGTTACCTGGTCCATGCAAATTCAAGCGTGTACATAATATTAATTTGTTTTTCATAACTTTTTTTTTACCCAAACATATCTCACTGTTTTGTGTGGCTATGTGACCCTGTGTTATGTTATGGCGGAAAGTGAGTCATGTAGTATAACTGACATCAGCAACATCTCAAATTATGTGTACACCACTTGACTAACTCTATCAATGAGTGTGTTGGTATAAGTAGGCCAAACATCAAAAGGCAAAACGGAAGTGTGCAGCTCTTTGGAATCAGACAGTGCATATTTTCTGGTCTATAGTCTGCAGACTATGCATGAATAAAAGTTGTTTTTTTATGTTGTGCACACTATCTACAGATACGGGTTATACTATGCAATAATTTTTGTTTCTAGATCCTTCGTTAGCACCAGACTGGTCTGATTGGCTTGCAGATTTTCGAATGTTTTATGCCGGGATTAAGAAGTGAACGTCACACTTTCAATCTGTTGCTCAGGCTTTCTATGCCTTGCGTGTGACACACTGCTCGCTTGGATGCCTGCAAGCGGTCAATGTGGGTCAAGCTGAGAGCTCTGCGGTTCACCCAGGAGAGGTGCACAAGAAAATCCAGACTTTCGTCTGCAAATATCTTTTGTGCGAGAGGTGTGGACTGACAGACTATGGATGTTAGCATTTCAGCCTACGTTTTGCCCTGCGGACTATGCATTGAGCACCAACTATCCAAACGAAACTTATTTTTTAGGCAAAATTGGCTCCTAGGGTCTTTAGACCGGAAAATACAGTACTTTAAAGCACTTGTTGCTTACGCTAGAAAGTTAAACGAACCCTGCCGTCAGTGTTCACTGTCTTTTGAGCCATAACTTCCCTGTCAATCATGTTCGGGAACCGACAGTTAGAGCTCAGTCATTAAAATCAGCATAACATGCTGATGGTAATTTAACAGAAAGGGCTTTCGCCCCGTCCTCCCTGGAAATTATTTCGCGCGCCTAATTTTTCTCTGTTTCCCCAGACCTACAGAAGGGCTCTTTATGTCCCTCTGTCCGGTGGTGGTCGCAAGCGAGGCCTGCACCGTTATTGCCATCACCATAGTCTGAAGGTATGTATACACCACTTGACTACTTCCATAGAGGAGTGTGCTCAAACATTAAAGGGCCAAATGCCAGCGTGCTGCTCTTTTAAATTGGGCAACACTCCAAACCATGTGTTTTATAGGCAAAAAAGAAGTTTTGCACTTGAGCGGTCTGCGGTGGTGGTATTTCACTCTCTGTGGAGTTGTAACTTTCTTGTGAATCATGCTAGAGCAGCGCAATTTGAAGCCAAATCACCAGCAACCATAACATGGGGATGGCTAATTCACATACTCTCTCCTCTGTGGTAATTACTGCAGGCGTCTAATGTTTCTCTTTTTTACCCAGACCTACAGCAGGGCTCTGCCTGGCTCTGCGTCCCTCTGTCCAGTGGTGGTCGCAAGCGAGGCCTGCACCGTAATTGCCATCACCATAGTCTGAAGGTATGTATACACCACCTGACAACTTCCACAGAGGAGTGTGCTCAAACATCAAAGGGCCATATGCCAGCGTGCTGCTCTTTTAAATTGGGCAACACTCCAAACCATGTGTTTTATAGGCAAAAAAAAAGTTTTGCCCTTCAGCGGTGGTGGTATTTCACTCTCTGCGGAGTTGTAACTTTCTTGTGAATCATGCTAGAGCAGCGCAATTTGAAGCCAAATCAATAGCAACCATAACATGCGGATGGCTAATTCACATACTCTCTCCTCTGTGGTAATTACTGCAGGCGTCTAATGTTTCTCTTTTTTACCCAGACCTACAGCAGGGCTCTGCCTGGCTCTGCGTCCCTCTGTCCAGTGGTGGTCGCAAGCGAGGCCTGCACCGTAATTGCCATCACCATACTCTGAAGGTACGTATACACCACTTGACTTCTTCCACAGAGGAGTGTGCTCAAACATCAAAGGGCCAAATGCCAGCGTGCTGCTCTTTTAAATTGGGCAACACTCCAAACCATGTGTTTTATAGGAAAAAAAGAAGTTTTGCACTTCAGCGGTCTGCGGTGGTGGTATTTCACTCTCTGCGGTGTTGTAACTTTCTTGTGAATCATGCTAGAGCAGCGCAATTTGAAGCCAAATCAATAGCAACCATAACATGTGGATGGCTAATTCACATACTCTCTCCTCTGTGGTAATTACTGCAGGCGTCTAATGTTTCTCTTTTTTACCCAGACCTACAGCAGGGCTCTGCCTGGCTCTGCGTCCCTCTGTCCAGTGGTGGTCGCAAGCGAGGCCTGCACCGTAATTGCCATCACCATAGTCTGAAGGTATGTATACACCACCTGATAACTTCCATAGAGGAGTGTGCTCAAACATCAAAGGGCCATATGCCAGCGTGCTGCTCTTTTAAATTGGGCAACACTCCAAACCATGTGTTTTATAGGCAAAAAAGAAGTTTTGCCCTTCAGCGGTGGTGGTATTTCACTCTCTGCGGAGTTGTAACTTTCTTGTGAATCATGCTAGAGCAGCGCAATTTGAAGCCAAATCACTAGCAACCATAACATGCGGATGGCTAATTCACGTACTCTCTCCTCTGTGGTAATTACTGCAGGCATCTAATGTTTCTCTTTTTTACCCAGACATTTGTAGTTAACTTTTGGAATTGAAACAAGCCCACAGACATCAAAATAGCTTGTACAGTGGGACACCTGTTCTACAATTTAAATGTAACACAGATTCGACAAACATTTTGCTATTTTTGGATTGTTGACTAATGAAAAGCTGGGTCAATTAAACCAGGATGTCAAATGAACACATTTAACGCACACTTTCAGTATAGGAATCTGTCTCTTCTGGACATTTGATACTTTATGAACCTCTGCCGTTGGTTACATAAGCACAGCATTATGGCAGTATTCATCGGTTATGTTATTTCTTATTTCAAAAACTCTCCCATTTCAGGCCGGAAGTTCACATCATTAAAACTGCATCATGTACAGTTGCCATGTGTGCAAGCTGCGACAGAAAAACTTGTATCACTATGAGAGACACTATAGGCTTCATTCAACAAGTCACAACCTAAGTTTGCCCTGCTTGAAAGAATGGTGTAGCAGGTCTTTCCGCTCATTCAATGCCCTAAGAGTGCACACGTCAAAATGTCACAGTGGGCAGAAATCTCATCACGACGGGAGAGAATATGTTTGCCCTCACGCATTCTGCTCACAAAAGGTTTGGAGCAGACTGGAAATGACCAAACATATCAAAGGCCACATCAGTTCAGGCCTCAAGACAAGTTGCTTCATGGAAAACTGCAGAAGGCAGTTTCAGAACTCAAATACATTCTCGGCGCACATGAGTCGCTGTCATAGTCACCAGGCAAAACCCCCATCGTCATACAGTCAACATGATTATGATAGTGATGGTGCACAACCTAGAACTGACATGGAGAACAGTGAGTCTCTTTCATTCGCGCACAGTGCTGAACAGGCAAACACATCTTGTGAGGGCCCTGGTGAGGCATCGTTAGAAACAACACATCTGGCCTTGTTTTTTATGAAGTTGGAAGCAATGCACCTAGTGCCTGCATCAGTTGTCCAGAGTATTGCCAATGAGATGTACTTTCTTGAATCTGTAGCTAAAGACAGCAAAGTTTCAGGCATTTGTAGAGTTCTGGAATGCTTCGATGTCAGCGCAGAAGTATGCCATGCAGTTGTGGCAGAACTGAAAGCTGAGCAATCTCCTCTGTGCCCAGACAGTGGGGTCTTGCGTAGTATGCATTCGAGGAGCCAGTTCTACAGAAATAATTTTGCCGTGATAGACCCTGTGGAGGTTAAATGTGCGCATGCTAGAAGTTTTCACTATGTGCCAGTGAAGGAAACACTAGAGGCTTTCCTTTCTGACATTTCTGTTCAGAAGCTACTCTCTCGCACAAACGATCTGGAGCCTGGCTTTCTCCAAGACATCACTGATGGGAAGCTCTATGGAGAGTCCAATTTTTTTATTGCTGGTGAGAACACCATTCAGCTACTATTATTTCAGGATGCATTTGAAGTTGCTAACCCTTTAGGATCTGCCAGAAAAAAACACAAAATCTTGGGGATGTACTACACCATCGCTAACATGCCACCATTCGCTCAGACAAAAGTTCATGCGATGCAGTTAGTAATGTTGTGCTATGAGTCCACCTTACAAAAAGTGGGACATGATGTTGTGATGAAGTCTCTTGTATCAGACCTTACAGATCTTGAAAAAGATGGTGTTACTGTAAATGGAGTCAGATACAACTGCGGCTTGTTGTCATGTCTCGGTGACAACCTCGGAAGCCACGGGATAGGGGGCTTTGTAGAGTCGTTTTCAAGGTCAAAATATTTCTGTCGCTTTTGCGAAGTGACAAGAGATGCCTTTATGGCCGATTTTAGATCGATGGGACCTCGCCGTACGGCTGAGAGCTATGAAAAATGTCTAAAGCGCATCAAGGAAGAAGGACTAGACTCATGTCTTGGGGTTAAGTTTGACTCATCCCTAAACTCACTCCTGAGTTTTCATGCCACGTCTGGCCTGCCCCCGTGCATTGCTCACGACCTATATGAGGGTGTAGTCCCATATGACCTATCGCTTATCCTTCGGAGACTCGCCATTGAGAAGAAGTGGTTCAGCATTGAGGAACTCAATTCAAGAATAGCGAACATGAAGCTTAAGGGGCATGACTCTAAGAACCGGCCGTGCAAAGTTTCCTGTGAAGGAAACTGTAGAGGAGAGGCAGTAGAGACATTTTATCTTGTCAGATTTTTGCCCGTCCTGCTCTTTGACAAGGTCAGAGATGTGGAAGATGAGGCGTGGCAGCTATACCTCATCCTAAAAGACATTGTAACCATCTTGGCATCGCCTCAACTTCATGTGACTCAAATAGAGTACTTGCGTGCTCTCATTGATGACTATTTGTCCCGTAGGGTACATCTGTTTCCTGGCATAGCTCTAAAACCAAAACATCATTATCTGAGGCACTACCCCGACCTCTGCTACGAATACGGTCCATTGTGCCATTTGTCAACGCTTCGCTTTGAGAGCAAGCATTCCTACTTTAAGCGAATCATACGCAGCACTCAAAATTTCAAAAATATTACTTACTCTATGGCAAGGAAGCACGAGATGCTTCAGTCATATTGCAGAGCGGGCAAGCTTTTTCCAGATGAATTGCTTCAAGAGCATGCATTGTCTTTTGTAGAGGGAATGTATTCAAAAGAACTCACTGATGGTGTAGTGAGCTGTGGCATTCAACTGTCAGCTGCTGAAGTTAGTCAAACATTGGTGTATCGAGGGACAGAGTATGTGGCGGGGTCGGTAATTTTTTTCCAACAGTGTAGGGAGCCAATGGCTGGCAAAATAGTTTGCTGTATCGTTGAGAACGGGAAGGTTGTGTTTGCGTTAGAGGCATGCAAAATAACAACATGGGCAAGCATGGGACTGAAAATTGTAAATTGTTGCAGAGGTAGTTTTCTGTGTGTGGCTTACAGTCAGCTTCTGGATTTTTCTCCTTTGCACATTTATGCCTGTGGAACAAGGAATGTGGTTTCCTTGAAACATGATGTGGAATATACTCCTTACCTGTAGAGCCCTGTGTATCTGTGGGTATCCACAGTGAACTGGTGGATGCAATATCTTAATAAAAAGAAAATCAAACAGCTTATGAAGTGTGACTGCGAGGGAATCTTTTTTAATTCACGCTTGTGTTTATGATGTAGGAGAAATATAAAGGAACACTTTGGATGACCGGTAGAAAAGAAAGTCGAAGATACAGTTCAGGTGTGGGTATAAAGTCTCCAGATGCAGATTGCATGATCAGATCGCTGTATTCATGCAGGGTTTTGCATATCTGTAGTTCTCATCACAGTGATGCTTTGCCAGGCTCCTTAACGCTTTAGAATGCCTTTATAAAAATAGCTTAGTGTCTCCTGTCACTTTTTTTTTTTTTTTTTTTGATAGTAAAGGAAATTTAATCTAATCACATTGACTGTATTTCTCCCCTAAAATAAAGATGGACTCTGTAAGGGCAACTATAACACAACTGGTACCCGAGATACCCGATGGCCAACTTGACGCACTGGTGACCCACCTTGTGGAGGAGGGATACAGTACAGCAAAAGACCTTCTATACTTGGAAGAACAGGACTTAAAGCCTTTCCTCAAGACCTTGCATATCAGGAAGCTTTTACATCTCATAAAATCTGGGTCCCAACTGCAAACTGAAAACTGTGCACTTCCCTCAACGTCAGCAGCTTCAACACCGACAAACCCAGCGGCAGCCACGGCTCACCGCGCATCACAAGAGAGGGCTTCGAAGGACCGCTGGGCGAGTTCTTTTGAAGTGGATTGGGGTGCAATGCCTGCAGATCTGGTACGAACCTGCCAAGAGGAGAAGGTGCCAGAGCCTTACCTAAGACGAAAGATGGTCAAACTCCTGGGAGAAGCAATCGCAGTGCATGATCCGAAACCCAAAATCAAAGAAGTAAGCAAGATTGCCTCCCTGGTTGTGGCAAGATACCCACACTCCTTTGCTGACGTGATGTCGACAGGAAATATTATTGGTGACGGTACGTCATCTTTAACACGACAACTTGCTGTATACATGGATAACAGGCGTCGGCCACACAATGCTGCAAAACGAGGGCCGGGAAGAACTGAAGATGACGAACCAGAAGCGACATTATCTAAGCAAGGCAGACAAACAGACTCCCACGGTTGCGTGGCATGGGAGCCAGACTGTGCGCCATACACGTGGGACGATCTAGAGGTAATGAGGCAGCAGCTGTGCAAAGCCACCAATTTAGAGGAGATCTCCTCTACTATGAAGAAAACCTACGCACTGCAGAGGAGGCACATCAACTCCATGCAGCAAACACTCCTTGAAATTGCGGAGTCTTGGCCTCACCTCTTCAAAGAGCCACACTTCTTCGTTCATGTTGATACACTCCTTGGGTTTTCCTACCACACTGCCTTCACCACTGAGCTGACGTCGAAAGGAAATCAGCTCTTTGATGTCATGTGGAGAGCATGGAAGCCTCAGTCAAGGTCCCTCCTCCAGACAATCCAGAAAACTTTGGACTGCAATGGACAAGCGCCACCACGCTACACCTTTGTTCTTCAGCTCCTGACTACCTACTTCGACGAGAATCCAGAGGCTCTCATCTCATTTCACCCGGTGAGCTTGGTAATCTTATTCCATGAACTTGTTTAGTTATTCATAAATGTATGCAATCAATTGCAGAGGTCAACTCTGTGAGGCAGTGATCATCTGCTCTGTTGACTGCAATTCCTTGTGTGAAGTGCATAATACCACACACAATATTGTTCATGGCATTTAAATATTAGCTGCAAAAAGTTTATTAATTTAATTTCTGAATTCTCAGCCTTGCTGACCAATTTTTTACCATGAAAGTATCTGTTTTCTTATCAATAACAAGTACACCATTAAATATTCTTGATTTTTGTATTCATTATAGCACTCAACAGCTGCCAGTGTTCTTGGCTCCTGCCCAGATACACCTCACCTTGCGGTCCTTGGTGAGATAGCTTTGCACTGCCTTTTAATTTTTAGATAATTAAGAAAATTGTGAAAGGAGTAGTGCAATTACAGTCTAAGCTCGTTATAATGGCCCTTGTTATTGACCAGGGCTGGGCTTTCGATAGTATACTTGACACCATGGAAAATTACATTTAGGTACTGATACAAGATACAGACGCAAAGTCCATCTTTGATATAAATACTCCATGCAGTATCCTAGATGCTTCGATACATAGCTGAAATCCCATCGCAAGTATTTGGAAAGCAGGAAACCTGATTAATTTACATTGATTATAAACATTTCTCACCTGGATTTTATGGGTTCTGGTATCGATATTTTTCATAAACGTTTTTTGTTAGCTTTGCATGTTAGCTGCGGAGTCCAACAAGGTATCGTACTCGGCCGACTTATTTTTCATTTATATTAACAACCTTCCTGCACGTATCTCCTCTTTCATAGGCCTCTATGTTGACGATTGTGTTATTTATAAAGAAATTCTTAACGATTCTGGGTTAGGAGGCGAATTGATGGAGTAAAGGAAATCGAGAGATATCGGTCTAAGTCCACGATTGCACAAACACATAATCACACAAGGGAGTGAGGAGGAGGGGGAAGAAGGAATAAAGGGGAAGGAGGGTGAAGTGGATGGCAGAGTGGGAAGGAAGAGGGATATAGAGGAGAAGGGAGAGGATGAGCAAAGAGGAGGAGACGAGGGAATGAAAGGGAGAAGGGAGGGGAGCTAGAAGGGATGGGGGACACGGGAGGAGGAGAGGTCAAGGGTCCAAGGTCAGGGTCACCTTTTACCTTGACAAACGCACAGCCAACAAGGGAGAGAGGAGGAAGACAAGGGGATGGGAGTGACGAGGGTAAACGGGGGATAGGGAGAGCTGGAAATGAGGAGGGCAGGGAACCAGGAAAGAAAGAGGCCAAATGCTACTAGCCACGATTGCCTTGATAGCTCTCTGCCGAGCTCAAAGGCACGCTTAGCAGAGATCTTGAAATTTTTATAGACCGTTTTGTTAATCCCGATGACGATACCCTTCCATTGCCCTTAAACGTGTTTCTTTAGTGGGTATCACTTTAGGACTGAAAATCCGGCTTACTAAAACCCTCTAATGATGATATACTGCATTGCATTAGTCCACTTATCGGCCTTCAACTAAGGAGATGTCAGTTCAACAAAGATGCCGGTGTTGTCTGTCTGCCCTTTTACAGGTGTTACCCAACCTGTTCCCACAGTTCCAAAAAAAAAAAATTGTGCAATTTGCATGTACAGCTCACAAAATAGAAAGAAGGATAGCCTGGTTTTGCCAGAAAGAAAATGAACTGGAAGTGATCTTTAAAAGTTAATGCTAATTTCTTAACTATTGGGTATCTCCAAAATACTCGATACTGTAAAAATGGGTATTAGGTACTGATACATTGGTACATTTTTTCCTGGCAGGCAGTACCAGATACAAGGTACTCGACTGTCTCTGAAGTTAGTATTGGAGATACATGCATCTCTGATATCGCCGAGCCCTGGTTTTGACCACTATTTCGCTCTGTTGTAAAAAAGGATTATGTATTATTCAGATAGGAAGTTGAATCAGTGGTACAAATAGGAAAACCAACTGAGCTTCACAAATCAGTATGTTGTATCCAAGTTTCTGCTGCAACAAGATCTGTTGTAACGAGCTTGTACTGTATTCCAATGCAGAGCATCCATATTTCCTAGTTTACCTCATTGCAATGTCCTTTCTGTCATCCATTTGAACCGTTACGATTGCAATAAATTAACTACATCTGTAACATGTAGGTTTGATGATCATCACATCTTGCTTTTTTTTTTTTATTTAGGTTCTACGCTTCTGGATGACCCTCTCCAGATTGCGCTGGTTGTTGACAGGGTGCTTGTGTTTGAGGCAAGCAGTCTCGAGGTCGCTCTCTGCTCGCTCCTGGGAGCGTATTTCGTCTTCAACATCAAGTACCCAAAGGAGGCCTCGTACACGCTGGAGTTCCTTCAGAGGTACAGATATGTCAGAATTCAGTGTTTGTTCATGGCAGGACTGGTGGTCGATTATGCTAGTGCACCGCAACCCTGAACATGTGGACCTAGACCTCGCACTGCAGAGTCCAGGAATCCACAGTCGGACTAGCGCCTCACCTGTTCTAATCTTGATAGGCATTATACTGGCATCTGTTCGTGTATCACTACTGCATGTTGGCTCTAAAGGCCTCGGGTTAGCAGCCATACTGCACGAGATATTTTGCTGCGCAGTGTGAACCAGCCACCGACATGTGAAAGTCAGCCCAAAGGCAGGCTGTATAAACACGCACAAGGACATCTCGACATCTTTCACCCAAGAATGTGAGTTGTTCATGTTCAATTGACATGCGTTTCTTTGACCTCTTATACAGGCATTTTGGCCAGATAAACCCATCTAAAGGTAGCAAGTCCAGCTCCCGTGGTCACAACAAGGTCAATGGAATCCCAGCCAGAATTCTAGGCCTGCTGAACAAGATTCGTTCACTCTAATGGTGTGTTTTCTATTTTCATCTTTCCCTCTTATATTTTGTGATGCTTGATTTTTGCTATTGCAGATAAAAATTTGTTTTATCGGATCAAAAAAAAGAAAAAGACGTTTACAACACCCCGTAACGCCGAATTAGAGCATAGCTCTCGAGGAGGAAGAGGGGAGGGTATACCCTTCCTCCTCTCCTCCTCCTCCTCCCTGTCCCTCCTCTCCTGCTCCTCATCCCTCTTCCCTTCTCTTCTCCTCTTCCCCTCCTCCTCCCCTCGTCCTCCTCCCCGCGTGTTGCATCATGGGAAAGGTCCTATAATGCACCGCGCAGTTACGGCGACGCCGACGCCGCTGAAGCCGGTAAAGGGGCGCCCAAGAGCTGCGCTCGAAAAGAATTCCTTTAATTCGATTTTCTTTTTCTAATTTGACCGATGGGGATACGAGACTAAAGGCGAAAATGTTTCTAAAAGTTCCTGTACTGCCTTCAGTTCTTACAAATGGTACACAATATAAAAGAAAAAGCAAGGACACATGCGGCAGCCCTGCAGCATAAATTAAAGAGACAGTGTTTTATTTATAGTGCTAGATGGAATTAAAATGATAGACAGATTAGATAACTTGATTTTATATATATTATTCATATTAGGTACAATGAAGGCTCGCATACCGCCGCCTACCATTAGAATCTTGAGGTCCTTGTAAATTTACAAAAATATTTGTTAATCTATGTTTTAATTGTTACAGCGAGGGCCAAAGGAATCTAGCCCACAAATTTATATACATTGCAAAAATCAGTAAAAATAATTTGGGTTATGTGGATAGTTATACAGCGTGTAGTTAGTCAGCCATTTCAAAGTTGTGACGAATAACTCGCTGTAGATGAGCGATTTAGCCAGTGCAGTAGAACCGCTAGCCTGCGGTCTTTAACAAGCATACGCAGTAGTGAGACACGACCGCATGCGGGTACGATGCTCATCCAGTTCAAATGAGCATGTGTGGGGATTTAACCCAGGATCCCTAAGTTCTGCAGTGCGAGCTCTCGCTCCACATGCTCCGATCTGGTGTGCGCTAGCCGACTTGACCACCCCCCAAAATCAGTCTCGCTTGCTACGGTAGTGTGGTTTGTGACGTAGGTTCAGCTAGGTTGTGGATTTGTTTTGTTAATATAGTACCAAAGAAAACACTTACCTCAGCAAAGAGTTACAAATAAGAACAATATATTTGTTATGGACCAACGTGGTTTTGAGCTTATTCAGATTGGAGCTTGAAAATGTTGTGGGCCAATGGGACGTTCGAATTAGCTCAAACATTGAAGGTAGGAACGAAGACACTTATTACTCCGCTCTCATCACCCGGTTTGTCTCGTATATGGTTTAGTGCCCCTCAACCGCGTTTTTAAACTTCCACCTGAGACAGCCTTGATTCCATGTCTGTCCATAGGAAACCTATTGTATTTATTTGTAACATTTGACCGGGGCAAGTTTCTCCTTCGAAATTTTTATAAAAGAAATCCACCACCTAGCTGAACATACCGTAGAATACCGTGCATCCGCCCACTCTCCACTAAGTGCCCATTCCCAAATTTGTAATATCTGACAAAGTCTGCGCAGTACGTTGAAATGTAAAATTAATAACCGGAAAAGCGCCCATCTCCCATTTTTTTGCGATTATGTCTAAATATTGAGTGGGCGCTTGCCCGGTATTTTACGATACGTCACAAATTACAGTGCCGCTTCTCGCGAAAATGGGTTAGATTCCCTTTGGTTCTCGCTGTAGAATGTTTAAAAATTGGAAGACTTTATTTGTTTTTCATAGTTGATATGTATCATCAACCTGATTACTTTTTATATGCCATATTTTTAGAGTGGTTCAGTGGGCAGGTTTCATATGTTGCCCTAGTAGTCTTAAAATAGTCTCGTTTTCACCTGTAGCATATGTGACTTGTTGTAATTTGCGGATGATTTCTAAAAGATCCTAGAACACAATACCTGGCCTTGAGGTGTTGGGATCAACGAAAACTGCATTTTCTCAGACAAGCGCAGGTTTCCTCGGAGAGAAGCACAAGATGGGGCGTTGACAAGTCTTCTCTTTTCAACTGACCAAAGCAGTGTTTTACTGGAGCTGAGCTATGGTCTCTTTAAAAGTGGTCTTTGTTTTATTCGTCACAGACATTATTCGCCACATTAGTTTTTTTTTTTTATGCCTCTGTTCTGTAATATCGATTAGTTATAAACTAAAACTGCATTTTCCCTGATAAGCGCAGGCTTCCTCAGATGAAAGCGTAGGCTGGGGTCCTGACAAGTCATTCTTTTTTTAACTGGTCCGGGCATATCGTTTTTATTGAAGGTAAACTATGGTCTTCTCCAAGTGTCTGTTCCTTATTCATCACAGACATTATTCGCTGCACTAGATTTTTCTTCTCTTCTGAAATGTCAATTGGTTTTCAACTAAATCTGAATATTCCCCGGCAATTGCAGGTTTTCTGCACGTAAAGCGCAAGATGGAGCGTGGACAAGTTTTTTGTTGTTTTAATCGTCCAAGGCATGGAGTTTTACTGAAGGTGAGCTATGGTCCTGTTACAAGTGGTCCATGTTTTATTCGTCAGACATTCACTGCATCGGGTTTTGTCTTGCTCCTCTTGTGCAATATCAACTTAAACTCCATTTTTCCTGACAAGCGCAGGTTTCCTCAGACGAGAGCGTAAGCTGGGGTCCGGACAAGCTGTTATTCTTTTTTTTTAAACGGCCCGGGCACGTTGTTTTATTGAAGGTGAGCTATGTTCTTCTTTAAGTGTCTGTGCCTTATTCGTGACAGACATTATTCGCTGCACTAGATTTATCTTCTGAAATGTCAGTTGGTTTTCAACTAAATCAGCATTTTCCCTGGCAATTGCAGGTTTTCTGCACGTAAAGCGCAAGATGGAGCATGGACAAGTTTTTTTGTTTTTTTAATCGTCCAAGGCATGGAGTTTTACTGAAGGTGAGCTATGGTCCCATTATAAGTGGTCTGTGTTTTATTCATCACAGACATTATTAGCCGCATCAGGTTTTATCTCGCTCGTCTTCTGAAATATCAATTGGTTTTCAACTAAAACTGCATTTTCCTGTTAAGCGCAGGTTTCTTCAGATGAAAGCGTAGACTGGGGTCCGAACAAGGTGTTCTTCTTTTAACTGGCCCAGGCACATTGTTTTATTGAAGGTGAGCTATGGTCTCCTACCCGCCTTACTTGTCACAGACATTATTTGCTGCCCTAGATTTTTCTTCTCTTCTGAAATGTCAGTCGGTTTTCAACTAAATCTGCATTTTCCCTGGCAATAGACCCTTTCCGAAATTCAGTCTGGCTACTTTGATCACTATCATCATCTGTGGAACAGCATCTGTGCCATACCAATGGCAGTCTTCTAGTGACTGATAAAGGAAGACGTTGAAGATGATCCTAAGCGGATCTTGCGAGGCCTGTATTCGGGGGGTCAGTACGACGCGACATAGGAATGGAACGCAAGAGCTACGTAAGCGTTTATTTCTAATAACTCAGATTCAGTCACTCTGTGGGCGGCATACAATCGGCTTTAAAGCACACTGGTGTAGGGAATTTTCTCGAGGCATCTGAGTGGGTTGGAGCTTAATTCTGAATGCAAGTTCTTGGTCACCATCGAACTGAACGTGATCGAGAAAGAACTCACACCGAACAATTCCTCGCGTGCCGTTGACTTGCGAAAGCGACGGTGCCGATACAAGTTCATTTCCGCCATTGATATGGCAAAACCTAAACTGCTTTACAAACCACCAGATGGCACTGAATTTCGGAAAGGGTCTATTGCAGGTTTCCTGCACGTAAAGCGCAAGATGGAGCGTAGACAAGTTATTGTTTCATTATTTGCCTGAGGCCCAAGGCACGGTGTTTTACTGGAAGTGAGCTGTGGTCTGTGTTCTATTTGTCACGGACACCTGTATCATATTTCATGCCTCTCTCCTGCAATGTCAATTGGTTTTCAACTAAAACTACATTTTCTGTGATAAGCGCAGGTCTCCTTGGAGGAAAAGACTAGGCGCCGAGATGTGCTGGCCTTCCTTTATGGTTCAGACCAGTTGTTTTCATCAAGGTGAGCTGGTCTCTCTTTGCAGATCGAGCAGGATTATTTGTATTGTGTGCATGTCAGGCTCACCTTGTTTTGTATTGTTTCGACAGCCTTGTGCTTAGCTTATGACTATATACATCTTTCTTTTGCATATGCAGGGAGCATTGAGATAGCCCTACACCTCGGAAGAAGTACCCATAAACGAATTTTAGATATAATAAAGAGCTATTACAATTTCCCTCGTTTTTTGTTGTTTAAATTAAGCTCGAAGAAAACAGCTACAAAGAGCTAAAGAAAAATAATTTACAAACAACCGACCAAACTATTTTGCATTTTCACTGCTGTCTCAATTCTGAACCCTTTCTCAAGGGTGTTTATGTTGTGAGAATTTGCTGCCGATATGATGCCTTAATATGATCCGGCCAGCTTGAGCTGCACTTTCGAAAACCTCCAGGTCGCTCTTGTCTGTTGCAACTCTAGAACAGCAAGAGCAAGCCCCTCCCACAGAGCCCGCCACTCTTTCAACATCAGCAGAGCGGAGGCTGGAGAGCAGGGGAGTGGGGAGGAGAAAACAACCAATCATGGTGCAATGGTGGTTTCCTTCTTTCCACTTACCTATTATTCTTGGCTTGCAACAGATTTTAGCAGCTCACAGCTGTGTCTGCAGGTGCATCATATGAGAAACACTAGCTAGTTGCTGTTTTGCTGCACCCTATCTCACCTATTTTGAAGTTAAAGTTTCTGTGCCAATTATTTTCTCTTCATTTTAGACAAAGCAGCAGAACTGCTCCAAAGTGCATAAATTTACTATTGCATTGCAATCCCCATAGTATATGGCTCACGTTTCCAGGTGCATCAATGACCCTGAAGTTATATTTCAGAATATTGTTGCACAGAAACTTGTGTAAGTGAAAAATATTGGACAGCAGAACATGAGCTACTTCAGTGCCTCAGCTAAAAAGAGATGTAGAAACAAATATTTTGTAAAAAAGAAATGATGAAATGCTTGGCAGCTCTGTTAAGAGGGGTTGCCCATTAAAATGCTAATGTGCCCCCCTATTGTGAAAATATGTGAAAAAAAGATGTCGTCAATGCAACTGTACCCATTTTACCGAAGTGCAAGGTTGCTTGTTAAAATTATGTGCATGCATAATTTTAATGGGCATCCTTATACTTCGGAAGAATGAGTATTGTCATATTAACGACTTTTTTCACATTTTTTCAAAATATGGGGGCACGTTAGATTAATGTTATAATACCCATTTTTTCAGAGTATAAGGATGCTCATTAAAATGATGTGTACACATAAGTTTAACGAGCATCTTCGTATTTTGAAAAAATGGGTATCGTTGCATTAACGTCCCTTTTCACATATTTTCTGAATATGGGGGTGCGTTATTTTAATAAGCATCCCCTCTTAATAGAGCTGCCAAGCATTTTCTCGTTTTTTCTACGAAAGATTTTTTACAGTGTACCTGTCGCGTTCCCCGTCCCCCCCCCCCCCCCCCCTTAAAGTAAACGTAGCAATGCGGGTGTTTTCATCGCGTGGCAAACATTTTGCTCCAGTTAAACTGGAAGCCGAGCATTAGTTACAGAGAATGAGAACTTTTTCAACTGTACAAAAATCGTTAAAGATTTTTTTTTTATTGATAACAGCACTGTTTTTGAATGCTGCCCAGGAACTCTTGCTCGCACCTATATTTTGACTGCTGGAGTGTAACCCGGGGGCTCATTGGAGCCGGTGAGGTATCCAGACGCTGTTATGTACGTACTAATGCGTTGTCATGTACGTAATAATGCGCAATGCATAATAATACGGTGTCATCTACATACTAATGAGTTAGCACGAGTACGTACATGACAGCGAAACGTTGACGCATCCGTCTGCGGAACAAAATATTGGAAAGCGAAGCGCATCGCGTAGGGAGGAGGAGAGTGGTAAAGGACAAGGGCGAGAGGGATGCGACGTCACGGGGTGGAAGCCAACGCGCTCAGGAAACCGGTGGTGAACAGAGTGAAAGCAGCGTCAAGCAGGGGATGCCGCTGCTAATGGAGCATTCACACTGGAAGCGGATCCGCGTTCGCGAAGCGGTCGCGGATGCGGTTTGCGAGCGACCCCGTTCAGACACACCGAGAGGCGGTTGGCGGTTTCTCGGCGATCATGCGTGATCTTGTGATCACGCATGATCACAAGATCACAAAACAGGGTTGCCAAACCCTGTAAAACAGGGTTTGGCAACCCTGTTTTACAATCCAAAATCCACTTTAATTCAAGATCCAAAGCCAAAGTTTTGCTTTTTTGGCACTTGGAATATTTTTCTTTGGGGTGTTCGCGCGCATCACGAGTTCACGCAAGGAAAAAAGAAGCATGGACCCGCCGAACTCGCTTGTGATTCCTTCGACTTCGTCCATAAGCAAAGCCCAGCTAGGCGCGCCTTGCTGACTCAGAACAGGATGCTCCCGACCTTTTCTTCGAAGTGGACCCTTCCCGCATGAATAGCTGACCTTGTTCTCGGGATAGAGGGCCAGTGTTCTCCCTTCGTTGTTCGCTCTTATCATTTTCGAAGTTGTGAGCGGTGGGGTGGACCGTGATGCGAAGGAACGTGTTCGGTGCTAGCCGGTCGTTGCTTCGTTGGTGGCGGACTCTCCTCTCGTCACTCGCTCGTCGATCGAGTCTACAGTTTGTTTGGCATTAATCTCAAATAAACGCCGTATGGATTACCTCTTCATTGTCTGGTACGTACACTTTATTCCTTGTGTGGGTTCCCTTTATTTATTTTATTAGTAGTAAACGTTACAGGTCGAGCTAGCGCAGATACCCTGCCCCCTCCGCGGTAATGCGTTGGCTACGCAATCAAGTTCACGACGTCTCTATCGGTCTTCGTGGTGGTCATGCACGGTGTCAAAAGCTTTCAATAGTTCACACGACTATCCTAGTGGGTAGAAAAGCTGACATTTCGGTCGATCAGGGGCGGGTTCCGATGTTCTACTGGCAGAGATTAACAAGGTAGCGAGCTTGGGCTGTGGCACCCGGAATAATAAACTCTTACCCGAACCAAATCACCGGTGCGAAACCCGCTAAAATTACGAGTCATTTCTTTTCGCGGCGGATTCAAAAGCTAAGACTACATCGCTAGGACTACAGCGCCTTGGGACGCCTCACCAGCGGCAGGTGCCATCTTGTTTCGAAAGTCACTGACGTCACGTCAGCGTCGCGTTGTGATTGGTTGCCGCTTTGCGGTTCGTGAAAGCGGTTGGGAGAAATCGGTCTCGAAGCGGTTGGCAAAAATGCGGTCCAACCGCTCGATCCTAGCCGCTTTGCGGTTGAGAACGCGCGGATCCGCTTCGCGAACGCGGATCCGCTTTCAGTGTGAACGCGCCATAAGCGTGCAAGGTGGGCGAACGAGACAGAGGAGTGGAAGCAGCGCCTAGCTCGGCTTTTTGAAATCCGGCGCAAGAAGCGGCAAGCCAACGCCGGTCTGCGTGCGACACAGGCATGGGGCGAAGCGGGCTAGGCGAGCCCGCTTCTCCGGAATAGAATAAAGTAAGATTCAGTGTTGGATCCTTAGGCAATGCGTTAGCATTACCCTTGAGAAACGCCACACACGTCCCCCTGTGGGAAACGCTAACACTGACCCCCGTAACAAAGCCAAAAAGAGGCAGCAAAA